AGAGATGAAATCCATTATATAAGGTATAACTATAAAAATAGGAAGAAGACGAGCTACAAGAAAATACCCGCTGCTACCATAGTAGCGGCATGGATAAGAGCCGAAATAGGAGTGGGACCCTCCATAGCATCAGGTAACCATACATGAAGTGGAAATTGTGCGGATTTAGCAACTGCACCAGCAAATAATAGAACAGCACACAAAGTAACAAATATAGAATTGACTTGATTATTGGAAACCAAGTTATTAACCATTTCGAATAAATCCCGAAATTCAAAACTACCTGTTATCCAAAAAAGACCAAAATTCCTAATAATAAACCAAAATCGCCCACACGATTGTTACAAAAGCTTTTTGACAAGCATTTGCTGCAGAGGTCGTGTGAACCAAACAACCCTATTAATAGATAGGAACACATTCCAACCAATTCCCAAAAATATAAATTTGTATCAAATTGGAACTAGTAACTAATCCCAACATGGAAGTACTGAAAAAACTCATATAAGCAAAAAATCTCAAGTATCCTTGATCGTGAGCCATATAATTATCACTATAAATAAGAACCATAATTCCAACAGTAGTGATTAATATTGACATAATAGAAGTAAGTGGATCGATCAAATAACCGAATTCTAAAGAAAAATCATTATTGAGCGTCCAAGACCATACATATTGATAGATAGGACTGGTATTTATTTGTTCAATAGAAAAATTAGTTGAAAAAATCATGACTAGACTTAACAATAAAACAGTCGGAAGAGTGCACAGACGATGAAAATTTTTTGTTGCTGTCGGAAAAAGAAGAAGTCCTACTCCTATTAACATAGGAACTGGAAGGGGAATGAAAGGTATGATCCACCCATATTGATATGTCTGTTCCATAAATTTTTTTGAATTCTTAATTAATATGAATTGTTTATGATTCAATAGACTTCACCTTTTTTGAAAGGACTCAATAAAAGGATAAAGATATACACTAAGTTAACATAACTTAAATAGAATCTTTGGGTTTTAATTTCTTTTTATACTTATTTATTCTGATAAATAATTCCAATATCCAAACCAAGAAGTTCCATCTGGTCAAACTAAAGAGATTGATTATCCGTCCACTACAAATTTGAAAATTCAAGTCAAATTAGGGATATTTTTACTCAATTTAACAAATTACTAAAAAAAAAGAAGAATATTCTTTTTAGTAATATTTCCTTTTCGAGCAATTTTAGATTTATCTCACTTATCTTATCCATTCTTTTCTATTTTTTAATTAAAGATTTTTTTTGAAAAAAAAAATATTCGAAAAGCGCAGATTGTTTTTGAACAATAAATGTCTTTCACATTCAGCTAGCAATCTCTTAATTTTTATTTAAATGGCAGTTCCAAAAAAACGCACTTCTGCATCAAAAAAGCGTATTCGTAAAATTTTTGGAAAAAAAAAGGATATCGGGCGTCGTTAAAAGCCTTTTCCTTAGGAAAATCTCTTTCTACCGGGAATTCAACAAGTTTTTGTGCGACAAAGAAATAAAATACATATTTTATTTCTTTATAATATAAGACGCTGGAATAATCTCAATTGGACTGACTCAAAACTTGACTGATTCCATTTGTAAAACGAAACCCCCAAATTCCAGTTCCTGTTTATTAACTCAACAGGAACTGGAATTTGGTACGGTTTTCAAACTTATCATATATAATATATAAGCAGAAGAATTCTCTTTACCTTATCAAATAAAAAAGAGTTCATTAAGACCAAAATTCTTTTTTTTTGGAGGGGGTTATACCCTCTTAATTCCTGGTTTTAAAGAAGGAAAGTATGAAATATACAATAAAACGAAGACCCTAAACGAAAATAATGAACCTTCAAATACCCATTTGAACGGATTTTTTCATCAATTTGTAAAAAATATTGCACTCAGTTGAATTCTTAATTGTAGATGATTTTTTAGTCACAAGCTATTATGAGTTCAAGACAAGCCGCTATGGTGAAATTGGTAGACACGCTGCTCTTAGGAAGCAGTGCTAGAGCATCTCGGTTCGAGTCCGAGTGGCGGCATGTCATCTCCTAAAAGAAAGTAAGTAGATCTTATAATGAATTCAACTTCCTATTTCGATTTTCTAATTAAGGCAATTTTTTATGATATTTTCAACTTTAGAGCATATATTAACCCATATTACTTTTTCGATCGTTTCAATTATACTTATAGTTTATTTGATAACCTTTTTACTCGATGAAATCGTAAAACTGGATGATTCATATAAAAAAGGTTTGATAATAACTTTTTCCTGTATAACAGGATTGTTAATGAATCGTTGGATTTATTTGGAACATTTTCCCTTAAGTAATATATATGAATCATTAATCTTTCTTTCGTGGAGTTTTTCCCTTATTCATATAGTTCCGTATTTCAAAAAAAATGCAAATCTTCTAAGCACAATAATTGGTCCAAGTGCTATTTTGACCCAGGGCTTTGCTACTTCAGGCCTTTTTACTGAAATAGACAAATCCACAATCTTAGTGCCTGCTCTTCAATCCCAATGGCTAATAATGCACGTAAGTATGATGATATTAGGCTATGCGGCTCTTTTGTGTGGATCATTATTATCAGTATCGCTTCTGGTCATTACAGTTAGAAAAAAGAGACAGTTTTTTTATACGAGTAATTATTTATTAAATTTAAATGAGTCATTTTTCGTTGGTGAAATTAAATATATGAGCGAAGGAAATAATGTGTTCAAAAATAGTTCTTTTTTTTCTGCAACAAATTATTACAGGTCGCGCTTGATTCAAGAATTGGATTATTGGAGTTATCGCGTTATTAGTCTAGGATTTCTCTTTTTAACCATAGGAATGCTTTCTGGAGCAGTATGGGCTAACGAAGCATGGGGATCCTATTGGAGTTGGGACCCGAAAGAAACTTGGGCTTTTATTACTTGGATCATATTTGCGAGTTATTTACATACTCGAACAAATATCAAATTTCAGAGTACAAATTCAGCAATTGTAGCGTCTATTGGCTTTCTTTTAATTTGGATATGTTATTTTGGAGTCAATCTATTAGGAATAGGATTACATAGATATGGTTCATTTTCATTCACATCTAATTGAATTGAAAAAGTGATTCTTACAAGTAGGAATCGAAGCGTTTACAGCACATATAAGATAAAAAAACTTTGGGTGGACTGGCGAGAACCTCGTGAATCAAACATTGTAGTCATCCGCGGAATTCTCGCCAGTTCAAATTTCATTTTTTTTACTTAACATAAGAGAAGAAAAAGTCTGTCTTTTCTTTTTGTCATTGTACAATGAAGACTTTTCAAATGATCCAATTTAGTTTATTTTAGTTTTTTCTAAAAATTATCTAGAAAAAGAATTAGATAGAATAACTTCCATTTTTTCAACTGATAATGAAAGAACGAAATCGGGGTACATACCAATACCTAATATGGGTAAAAAAATAGAGATCGAAAGAAATAACTCTCGTGGCCCAGAATCAAAAAAATAAGAGTTTGCAATATTAACTATCTTGTATCCATAGAACATCTGGCGTAACATAGATAATAAATAAATAGGAGTTAATAGCATTCCAATTGACATTACAAAAGTAATTAGGAATTTTGTCATTAAAAGATATTTTGGACTAGTAATTAGTCCAAAAAAGACTATTAATTCGGCAACAAAACCACTCATACCTGGTAATGCAAGGGAGGCCATCGAAAAGCTACTGAACATTGTGAATGTTTTTGGCATTGGAATAGCAATTCCACCCATTTCGTCAAGATAAACAAGACGTATTCTATCATAAATCGTTCCGGCCAAGAAAAATAGTGCAGCACCAATAAATCCATGAGAGATTATTTGTAAAAAGGCTCCGTTTAGTCCCATATCGGTGATAGAACCAATTCCTATAATTATGAAACCCATATGAGATACAGAGGAATAGGCTATTCTTTTTTTTAAATTCTGTTGACCTATAGATGTTGAAGCTGCATAGATTATTTGCAGTGCGCCTATTATCATAAACCAAGGAGAAAATATAGAATGAGCATGAGGGAATAATTCCATATTGATGCGAACTAATCCATACGCTCCCATTTTTAATAAGATTCCGGCTAGAAGCATACAAGTACTATAATGTGCTTCTCCATGGGTATCTGGTAACCATGTATGGAGGGGTATGATTGGCAATTTGACAGCAAAAGAAATAAAAAATCCAATATAGAATATTATTTCCAAGACCACAGGATAGATCTGGTTGTCTAATGTTTCGAAATTTAATGTTGGTTCAGCAGAACCATATAAACTGATACCCAGAACTCCCATTAAAAGAAAAACAGAACCCCCCGCCGTGTACAAAATAAATTTTGTAGCCGAGTACAAACGTTTTTTTCCTCCCCACATAGATAAGAGTAGATAAACAGGAATTAATTCGAACTCCCACATGAGAAAAAAAAGTAAAAGGTCCCGAGAAGAAAATAATCCTATTTGTCCACTGTACATTGCTAACATCAGGAAATGGAATAATCTCGAATCTCGAGTAACTGGCCAAGCCGCTAAAATCGCTAAAGTGGTGATGAATCCCGTCAGTAAAATGGGTCCTATAGAGAGTCCATCTATTCCTAATCTCCAATGGAAATCAAAAGAATTGATCCATTTATAATCCTCAATTAGTTGGATTAATGGATCATCCGATTCGAAATGATAACAGAATGCATAAGTTGTTAAAAGAAGTTCTAATATAGAAATGGATATAGTATACCATCGGGTCGATCTATTTCCTCTATGTGGAAAAAAGAAAATTAAGGACCCCATAAATATCGGCAAAACTACAATTATTGTTAACCAAGGAAAATGATTCGTGGTAAAGACAAGATACACTTGGTCCAGAAAAACCTGTGCTCAAAATATTTGAATTTTATTTTGAGCACAGGTTTTGTCGATAAAAAAAAAACAATAAAATGGAATCAAGTAGAGTTTTATGGAACGTATCAATAAGCTAGACCCATACTGCGAGTTGTTTCATGCCATAAATAAACTCGAACACTCAAGAAATCCGTTGGACAGGCGGATTCACATCTCTTACAACCAACACAGTCTTCGGTCCTTGGAGCAGAAGCGATTTGTTTAGCCTTACATCCGTCCCAAGGTATCATTTCTAATACATCGGTGGGACATGCTCGGACACATTGAGTACATCCTATACATGTATCATAAATCTTTACTGAATGTGACATTAGATCTATCCGTTTTTAAATATCAAAAATTTTCGGTCTAGTAAACTAACTTGTAAATGAATCCTAGATCTCGATACCAGACGAATCAATGAATGATCCGAATTAATCGGTTTCCAAATTGGTTTATGAGTGAAAACCAAAATACTTTGATTTTTTCTGTTTTTTCAACCAAGATCGTATCTTACCCGTCCAAAACCACTAATTTGAATCAATTTAGGAATATTCCAATTCTATTTATATGAAATACTATTTATTCATAAAATTGGATTGGTTAATACGAGTTGATTTTCTGTTACGATAAATTGATGAAACAATAGCCGATCCAATGGCTGCTTCAGCGGCTGCAATAGCTATAACAAAAATTGAGAAAATGTTTCCTCTTAATTGACGACTATCAAAAATATCAGAAAATGTTACAAAATTGATATTAACTGAATTTAATATAAGTTCAAGACACATAAGGGCTCTAACCATATTTCGACTTGTGATCAATCCATAGACACCAATAGAAAATAAATAAGCACTCAAAACAAGTATATGTTCGAGCATCATTAACCAACTCCTTTTCTGTTAATTCTATTTTCATTTCAATTACTCGTTTGAAAGATTTATTATTGACGAGCTATAGCAATTGCACCTATTAAAGCAATTAAAAGAATTATTGAAATGAATTCAAACGGAAGAAAAAAATCCGTTGATAAATGAATTCCAATTTGTTGACTCTTATTTATCAAATCTTGTTCTAGAATCTGATTTGATTTTGTAGTCCAAAGGATCCCATACCAGGACGTATCTAGGATAGTACTGATTAGTGAAATAAAAAGACTTGTACAAACCATTGAAGTAACTCGATCCCCAACGGTCCAAAGATAAAAATCTTTGGAATATTCTGAACCATTCATAAACATTACAGCAAAAATGATTAAAACATTGATAGCTCCCACATAAATAAGGAGCTGCGCAGCAGCTACAAAATACGAGTTCGATAGAATATAGAATAAGGATATACAAAAAAGAACCAATCCCAATGAAAAAGCCGAATAAATCGGATTCGGAAATAATACTACTGCCAAACTTCCTAATATAAGACCCGATCCCAGAAAGACTAAAAGAAAATCATGTATTGGTCCAGGTAAATCCATTTTTTCTATAAAAAATCAAATAATTTCATGCCCTTGTCGACTTGACCAGGAAAACGAAGTTATCCTAAAACTACAGGATATTTCTTAATTGAATGAAATTTCAATGGGGGGGTGGTGTGGATTGATAGAAATACAGTTATGGGGCTATGCTTATTCTTAAAAGCAGAAGTTGAAACTATCCATTTTGAAATCATTATTCGAATAGAAATCGATTTTCAATCAAAACGAAGCCAGGATTCTCGCGAACCAACCCTTCTTGACCAATTGACCAAACCAAAACCTCATTCCTTTAGGTCAAAAAGCTATTTTGATTTTGAATTTGTAAATGGTTTTTGAATCAAGAATTTTATACATTTTTTATTTGAGGTGAATTCGAAGAAATTGTTCGAATTGTGTAATCGTCAATTATTGACACCGGTAACCGACCTAGAGCAATTTGATTATAATTCAATTCGTGACGATCATAAGTAGAAAGTTCATATTCTTCAGTCATCGATAAACAATTTGTTGGACAATATTCAACGCAATTACCACAAAATATACAGATTCCAAAATCAATACTGTAATTAAGCAATCGTTTCTTTCGAATATTAATTTCCAATTTCCAATCTACAACAGGTAGATCTATAGGACATACACGAACACATACCTCACAAGCAATGCATTTATCAAATTCAAAGTGAATTCGGCCCCGGAAACGGTCTGATGTGATCAATTTTTCGTAGGGATATTGAATAGTTACAGGTAAACGATTTGCGTGGGACAAGGTAATCATGAAACCTTGACCAATGTACCTCGCGGCTCGGATTGTTTGTTGACCAGAATTCAAGAACTGACTCAGTATAGGGAACATACCGGAATATCTATAAATAATTTGACTTGTTTCTTTCTCTTGTTTGTGACAAGTTGTGAAAATCGAATATTTTATTCCTTTACAGTGAAAGAAGTTGAGACGAAGTTGTTAATAATAAATTGCCTAGAGATATAGGTAAAAGAAATTTCCATCCAAGATTTAATAGTTGGTCCATTCTCAATCTCGGTAAAGTCCATCTTGTTGCAATAGAAATGAACAAGAAGAAATAAGTTTTAGCTAGTGTAATAAAGATACCGATTATTGTTCCAAAAACTTGACTTCTTTTTTTTATGTCAAAAAGTTCAGTAACGAATATGTATGGGATAGAAAGATTCCAACCTCCCAAGTAAAGGACTGTTAAAAATAATGAAGAAACGAGTACATTTAGGTACGAAGCAACATAAAATAAACCAAATTTGATACCTGAGTATTCGGTTTGATAACCTGCTACTAATTCTTCTTCTGCTTCTGGTAAATCAAAAGGCAATCTCTCACACTCGGCTAGAGAAGAAATTAGAAAAATGATAAACCCTATAGGTTGACGCCATAAATTCCATCCCCAAAAACCATATTTTGACTGCACTTCAACTATATCAACTGTACTTGAACTGTTAGATAATCATAGTCGATGATAACATCACTGTTCCCATCGCTATTACAGAACCGTACATGAGATTTTCATCTCATACGGCTCCTCATAGATCACAAATAAACCGAAGGACTTTTCATTTATCTTGATATGTTTGTGTAGGATTGATAAAGAGTCAAACTCTTATCCTAAAGCCTAGAATTAGACCAATGGAATTCTGTCTGCTAATAAAATAGTGCTTCTGAATTAATCTCATCTTTTCCGAATTTTCATTTTTCTTTATTGCTTAATAACTTTATCCTTGAATTAAAAAAGAGTTGACTTTTTAGAGAAATAACACTTAGATATTTCAAGTTATCACTTTTTATTACGAAAAAAAATTCGATATTACATTACATATTTTGATTTTATTTCGTTCCTATTCTACTTTCTTAGGGACATTACTGAAAAGTAAAAGATTCCTTCGTTCTTGATAGTTATTTACTTAATCAGCGGATAGGAACATACTCTGGATCGAAATCTTGAGGAGTACTTCTTAATAATTTCTACCAACTAAAAGCCCCAATTTGAATTACTTTTCTATAAAGAAAAAGAAATATCCGGTTGGATAATTTATAGAATCTCCATTACTAATCCTTTGTGTATCTTGGTCTTCCTAACCATCCACTCATTTTTTTAGTTGGTAATATATCTATCGTAAGAGAAAATCCCATACAGTTGATCTTTTGAACCCACTTCAAGCTATGGTGACTAATCAACCAATCTTGGATTAAACAGTGTAGGCCGCTTATGTTTGCTTTCACTTAATTCTTGTACATAGGAAATGGGATTGAATTTATTTAACAGCAAAATTTGAAGCTGTTTTATTTCACTCATATAACTATCTGGTTTAGTTCATCCACCCTAATGATAATGATGAATAAAAAAAAAATGGATATTCAACTCATTTAATTTTCTTGTCAGAAAGAAACGAAATAAGGGAATTTTTATGTTTCAGCGAATCGCACGTAGAGATATTGATAATACACATAGAGTTAATGGTATTTCATAACTAATTGATTGAGCAGCAGCCCTTAACCCACCTAAAAAAGAATATTTATTATTTGATCCATACCCCGACATTAGAAGTCCAACAGGAGCAAGACTTGAAACGGCGATCCATAAAAAAACACCAATACTAAGATCAGTTAGAATAAAATGATAGCTAAAAGGAATTACTAAATAACTTAGTAAAATGGATATGACTGCTATACCTGGTCCCATACTAAATAAACGAGTATCTCCCCGAGATGGAAGAAGATTCTCCTTAAAAAGGAGTTTTGTACCGTCTGCTAGAGCTTGAAGAATTCCCAAAGGTCCGGCGTATTCGGGTCCAATACGTTGTTGTATTCCCGCAGATATTTCTCTTTCTAACCAAACAATTACTAGTACACCCAGTGTGATTCCTAACACAAGAGTGAAAATAGGAACAAGCATCCATATAATTTCATATCCTTCTTTTAAGGATTCAAATTTGGAAAAAGAATAGATAGCTTCTATTTCTGTTGTATCAATTATCATTTCAACGATCAACTTCTCCCATAATGATATCTATGCTACCTAGTATCGTCATAATATCAGCCAATTTCATCCTTTTAACTAATTGAGGGAGAATTTGCAAGTTGATAAAACCCGGAGGTCGAATTTTCCATCTCCAAGGAAAAACACTCTGATCTCCTATCAGAAAAATCCCCAACTCTCCTTTTGGGGCTTCGACTCTTACATAAAGTTCTTGTTTGGACAACTCAAAAGTTGGAGAAGTTTTTTTACTAATAAATCGATATTCAAAATCATTCCATTCAGGATCTTTTATCCTATCAAAGCGCCGGATTTCTAAATTTTCATACGGTCCCCCCGGGATTCCTTCCAGGGCCTGTTGTATAATTTTTATGGATTCTGTCATTTCACTAATTCGTACTAAATATCGAGCTAATGAATCGCCTTCTTTTTGCCATTGAATCTCCCAATCAAATTCGTCATAACATTCATAGCGATCCACTTTACGAAGATCCCATTGTATCCCGGAAGCTCGTAACATTGGTCCTGATAAACCCCAATTTAGTGCTTCTTCTGCACCAATAATGCCTATGCTTTCAACTCGTTCTAAAAAAATTGGATTCCGTGTAATAAGATTTTGATATTCAGCAACCCCGGTTAAAAAATAATCACAAAAATCCAAACATTTATCTATCCAGCCATAAGGTAGATCAGCAGCGACTCCTCCGATACGAAAAAAATTATGCATCATACGCATACCGGTAGCAGCCTCGAAGAGGTCATATATCAATTCTCGTTCTCTAAAAATATAGAAGAAAGGGGTCTGTGCCCCAATATCTGCCAGAAAAGGGCCGAGCCATAACAAATGGGAAGCGATACGACTCAATTCCAACATAATAGCTCTGATATAGCTAGCTCTTTTAGGTACTTGAATATTTCCTAGCTGCTCGGGTCCATTTACGGTTATTGCTTCTGTGAACATAGTAGCTAAATAATCCCAACGTGTTACATAAGGCAAATATTGTATAATTGTTCGATTTTCCGCAATCTTCTCCATTCCTCTATGTAAATAACCCAATATTGGTTCACAGTCAATAACATCTTCACCATCGAGAGTAACGATCAGTCGAAGAACACCATGCATTGATGGGTGGTGAGGTCCCATATTGACTATCATGAGGTCCTTTCTTGGAGTTGGCGAAATCATAAGTTTGTTCCCGAGTGATTCTTCCATGTATTGCTGAAATGAAAAATAAGTTCATACAAATGTAAACAACTAAGCTGAAATGGCATCATGCTTCAGATTAACGAATTTTTCTCTCTCGAATATTTAACTCACTAATTAATTCTTTATAGCGTACTCTATTCTTTTTTGACAAATAGGCTAGCAGTCGTTGACGTTTTCCCAAAATCTTTCGCAAACCTCTCTGAGATGAAGAGTCTTTTTTGTGCAATTCCAAATGTGAAGTGAGTTTACTTATCTTAGTGGTGAAACTGAATACTTGAGATTCAACAGACCCTCTCTTTTCTTCCGTTTCTTTTTGAGAAATAACCGAAATGAATGAATTTTTTACCATCAAAAAATTCCTCTTTCTCTTTTTACAAATATGGATTTTACCGATCAGTAATAATAATCCTATTCATTGTAATTTTTTATATACAATAATCGAATTCGAATTTTTTTATAAACGCTTCATTTTGAGAATTCAAATCAATCAATCCAATTTCAAACTGGATTTAGATGGGAATAGAAAAGAATTGGTACACTTTCACATCAAAAATTTGAGACCTAAAATGAAGAAGATTCTGTTACTTCATTTAAAAATCTAATTGAGACATTATTTATTTCATATTCGATACTAGAATGAAATGTGAGACATGTGATTCATCTGTGTATTTGTTTGTTTTCATATACCCTATATTATATATCGAGTATAAGATATATAGAATGATATATAAAATAGAGTATAGGATATATAAAAAAAGTGTATTATCCACAAACTTTCAATTGTGGATACAGATGGATCCTTACCATACTAAAACGACTGCCATTATTGGTATCAAACCAATAACGACTCAGACAAGCTAAATCTTCTAATCGATAATTAGGCCAAAGAAAGAGTTTGATTTTCATAAATTTCTTTTTCTCTCTATCAAAGTAGTTATTATCATGTGAAACTTGGCTGATGCTCTTTTCGTTGTAAAATACTAGATTTATATCTACATCAGTCCGAGTCTTTGGAGTCAAACAAATTAGAATTCGAAATTTTCTACGACGTCTAAACGATAAAATATTTTCAGGAACAAGTAAATCAAAATGATTTTTCTTTATCTTTTGAGTTATTCTTTGATGTGGTAAAATAGCTTCATCCCCTTTTTTGTTTTTTTTCAAAACATATCCGTATTTTTGATTAATTTGGTACTTACTCTTATGAACCAACGAAATACTTACAGTTTGATACAAAATCAGCTGTCCCTCTTTTTTTCCAGACAGTCGAATGGGTTCGATAATTAATATTCCCCTTTTCATAAACTCTGTAGGAGTGAAATTTCCCCGAATCAGCATTATATCCAAACTCATTTCTCTTTTTTGAATCGAGGATATAGTAATTTGTCTTGGATCTATCAGTCTAAGGAGGAGACAATATACTTTGATATTATTCATCATTCTTTGATTCAAAGTATCGTCCCATTTCAATTGAAAAAGCAAATAACGTTTTAAGAAGAAATCGAGTTTTGCTTCTGTGTCACTTTTGTATTGTTTTTGTTTCTTGCCTTTTTTTGTGTCAGGTCTTGCATAATTTTTTTCAATATCTTTTTGTTCTGGTAGAATGGATTCAAGATCCCCTTGGCTTGTGGGTTCTCTTTCTTCTTTATTTCGATGCTCTTTATTCGATGCTATCAAACTTTTTTCTTTTTCCTTGATCTTTTTCTTTTCACTACTTTTTTTATTTCTATTCAAATAAAAAAAAAGGAATTTGCTTGGTATAAACCAAGGTTTCGTTTTATATACAGTATAAAGTGACACCAATTCTGGGAAGAACCAAAGTTCCAGATTGGGACGCTTTAACATTTTTTCATTCATTCTCATCCAATCAAAAAAAGTTTTTGGGGACTTTGATGAATTCATTTCTGAAATCATAAGATAAAAAAGATCTTTTTTTTGAATTATCTGAGAGTTATTATTATTAGTAATTTGAGTATTTTGATTCCTATTGATATCAATCGGCATCCACGCCTGAATATCGAATTTTTGTTTAAGATCAAAATTTGGAATTTTCCATTCCAAATATTTTCTATCGGCCGATTTGTCCAGATCTATATATAGACTATCTACCTTTCCTATATAATTATTAATAAGGATATTCCTCAGTGTATTAAAAAAGCTTTCTTTAGGTGTATTATAATAGATCTCTTGGGTCTTATTTCCTTGAAAGAGGAATCCATAAAAAAAGCATTCCGTTTTATTTTCATAATTAAGAAATTTATATGATAAAAGATCATAGCTATAGTATTTTTGAAAATTTTCTTTTTGATTAACTAATAAATCTACTTGAAATTCTTTTTTTTTTTTTGAATTAATTAATTTTTTTTTTTCATATCGATGTTGTTTATTTACATTTTCCTTCTTAGCTTTAGCTATATGATGCTGAGAAACTCTATTTTTCCATTTTTCGGGTATTAATCTAGACCATATGATCTGAGATAAATCGTATTGATAATGTACTTTTAACCAGTTTTTCCATTGATTTATTTCATAACTCGGAAGTTGCTTATTCTTCAATTTCGAACCAACTACTCCTTGTCTTTCAAAAGAATCCTTTATTCCAGGCTTAAGAAAAAGAAAAAAGGGCAGTCCTTGAGAGTGAAGAACAGATCTTAATTTATACAAGTCATTGACCCGTAGTTCTGAGAGTATGTAAAGTACATATGCTTGTGACACGTAGGATAAGTCATAAAGAATAGGTGAATTTCTTTTACTAATATTATCAATTGGCTTTTTTAGAATCGAAAAAAAGGGAATTGTATTTTTATTTTTTTTTTAAGTGTTCTTTGTTTTCTTTCATTATTGTAAATTGATTTCTGAAGAATTGTTGATTCAAGAACAAATTCTCTATTCATTCTGACACTATTAATGATAAATAAAATTGGATCCGTATATATTCGTTCAATGAAAAATTTTACAAAAAAAGATAATTTACACATTAATCGAGCATTTCGTCTTTTTAATACCTTCCATTTTTTGAATCTTTTAACACTATAACTTGTTTTCTTGGGACTAAGATTATTCATTCTTGGAGTTACTTTCTCTTTGGAAATTCTTTCAATTTGATCTCGAAGTGTATTTGTTCTATGAGTTCGATCCTTCATTTTTCTTTCTGTCAATAAACAATTTTTCAAACTTGGAGATGCAATTTGCCTAGATGATTCATGAATTATCTGATTGTTAATCATGGAATATTTTTCTTCTTTAATTTTAATTTGACTCAATTTATATATTTCGACTTCTCTTATTCGAAATAATCGAATTAGATTGCCTTTTAAACCTTTGAAAAATTCTTTTATTATTTTTTTTAGAAAACAAACCCTTTTGATAACCCATTCTTTTATTTCTTTTAAAACTTTTTGAAGTAATTTTGTTTTTCTTTTGAACACTATTAGAACTTGAACAAAAACTCGAAAAGATTTTTTTTTGAATTTTCTCAGTTTTTTTTCGAGTTCCTTCAAAATCGGTTTAAAAAAGGAAGGTCGTTTTCGGGGCGAACCAAAAGGGAGTTCAGCTTCCATTCCCAAAATAGTTAAAAAAGAAAAATCATCTTTTTCTTTTTTATTTTTTATTAGATCTTTTGGAGAGGACTCTTCTTTGGATTTGTGCCAAGGTTTTAGACAGAAAGGAAAAAATATTTTTATCTGAATACCATCTGTCAGCCAATTTTTCGGAAATTCTGTTTCGGATAATGGAACACCGTTATAGGTGCATTTAACATGTATTTCTCTATTCCATTCCTTGAAATCTTCAGACCATTCGGGAAATTGCAATAGGAATATACGTCCAATATTTTTCGAAATTATGAGTGAAGGTAATAGAATCGATTTTCGAAAAATGGATTGAGTTAATAACATAGAACCTCTTATTACTTGCGCAAATGGAATCCTATCCCAGTACTCTGCTATATCTATTTGAGCTTTTTCCTTTTTTTTCTTAGTCTCCTTTTGTTCTTTTATTTTTGTTTGCTTTTCATATCTTCTATACTTTAAAATTTTGAATGCTTTCTCTTTCCCCACCCAATTTCGAAAAATCAGTTTAATCCACTCGGAGATATCAAAAGAAAAAAGAGGGAATTTTTGGATTTTGTTGAAAAAAAGAGGGGAATGCACATTTGCTTGAAACAATTCTCCAATTTCTATTTTACGTCGTTGAGCCCGTATAGAACCTTTGATTATGCCTCGTCGAAAGTCGGGTTGGTGTGAATAGCGTATCAAAGCCACTTCGTTTGTTTGATCTGTCGTATTAGGATCTGTAGTATTAGGATCAGTATCCTCCTTGTTAGTAGTAAAAATTACTACACGTTTAGCTTTTCTTGAACGAATTTCATGATCTACTGCTATGTCTTCTTCATGTTCTCCCGATTCTTGTTCTAACTCCGTGA